GCCGGTCCCTGTCCGGTACGGGGGCGACACTGAGGGTTGCGATCCGTTGCCGGACACGGAAAAAAAAAAAAAAAAAAAAAAAAAAAAAAAGAAATGTCAAAACTCTCAACTAAGCTTTAAATGTTTGTTTTAACTACACTGTAGCCTTCTACCTGGATTGCTTTGTAATTAAGAATCATCGAAACATAAATTGTCATTGAAAAAATTAGAAACTAACTTTTTAAAATCAAGTTCTTTGAGGTATAATTTACATATAGTAAAACATATCCATTTTCTGTGTGCAGTTAGGTGAGTTTTGATAAACGTGCCATTGTGTAACCACCACCACCACCATCAACTGGAAGAACATTTCCATCACCCCAGAGTTTCCTTATGCCCCTTTGCCCTTAATCCCCTCTCATTCATCTTCAGCCCTAGGTAATCACTCACTCATTGCTTTCTATTACTACAGTTTTGACTTTTCTAGAATATTGCACACGTGGAATCATACAGTATGTAGTTTTTTGTGTCTGACTTCTTTTACATAGCATAAAGCTTCTTAGATTCATCCAAGTTGTTACATTTATCAGTAGTTCATTCTTTTGCTTGCCAAGTAGTGTTCCATTTATGGAAATAAGCAATTTGTTTATCCATTTACTGGTTAATAGACATGTAGGTTGTTTCTGGTTTCGAATATGTATTAGCCATTGCTGTGTAACAGATTACTCCAAAAGTTAGCAGCTTAAAACAACAAACATCACAGTTTCTGCAGGTCAGGAATCCGGGCATGGTTAGTTGAGTGTCTATGGATCAAGGTCTCTCATGAGACCAGGTGTAGGAAAACCTGTGGACTCATCTGAAGGCTCGATTTGAGTGAGGGAAAGATGGGACCCACTTCCATGCTTATTCACATGGCTGTTGGCAGGCCTTAGAAGATCTGCTTCCTTACACAGACACATGGGCTTCTCCACAACGCCGCCTCATGGCATGGCAGCTGGCTTCTCTCAGCATAAACAATCTGAAAGATAGTGGAAGAGTGCTCCCAAGACAGAAGCCACAGTCTTTTTGTGATCTAATCTTGGAAGTGACATCTTGCTGCATTCAAGGGAGCTGATTATAAGGGCTTGACTACCAGAAGGTGGGGATCTCCAGGGACCATCTTAGAGGCTGCCTACCACAGGTTATTCTGAGTAAAGCTGCTATGAACATATGCATACGAATCTTTGTGTGGCCATATGTTTTCATTTCATTTTAATGGATAAATACCTAAGAGAGTAAGATTGTTGACATTTATGGCAGGGGTTTAACTGAATAAGAAACTGTCCCAGTTTTCATTCTCATCAGGAATGTGAGTTCTAATTGCTCCATGTTTTTGTGTGCCCATGATATTGTCTGTCTTTTAAATTTTAGACATTCTAGCGATGGGTAGTGGTGTTTCATTGTGGTTTAAATGGCTGTTCTCTAGTGACTAATGATTTTGAGTATTCATGTCCTTATAGTCATTTGTGCACTTCCTTTGTGAAGTATCTTCAATTTTTTTGTTGCCCATTTTTTAATTGAGTTGTTTGTCTTATTATTGAGTTGTAAGAGTAATTTGTAAAATATTTTAAAAATCATTTATTTAACATACTTATGTAATATACAAATATTTTCTTCTAGTCTGTGGTTTGTCTTTTTATTCTCTTAACACTGTCTTTTAGAGAGCAAATGTTATTAACTTAATGAGGTCGAATTTATCAATATTTTCTTTCATAGATTATTCTTTGGTGTTGTATCTAAGAAATCTTTACCCAACCAAGGCCACAAAGATTTCTTCCTATGTTTCCCTCCAGAAATTTGATAGTTTTAACTCTTCCTTTTAAGTCTATGATTCATTCCATATTAATTGTTGTATATAGTGTGAATCAAGGATCAAGGTTCATTTTTTCCCATAGGAATATCCAATTGTTCCAGTACCATTTGTTGAAAAGACTTGCCATTGAATTATTTTGGTGTTCTCTAGTTTTTCTCAGCAATGTTTTATAGTTTTCAGGGTACAGGTCTTGGATGTATATTGTTAAATTTATCCCTAAATATTTTATGGTTTTGATGCTATTGTAAATTGTATTACTGGTAAAAATCATTGGTTTTAAGTTTTGTTTTCCTAAAAGTTTTCTCCTACTAGGATTTTGAACAAGACCAATATATAAATTCTGAGTGACTTAGTCAATTTTAGAGACTTATGACTAGAATTCTAGTTGCATAAGTAAATGTTCTTTCTCCTATCAGTTTTTTTTTTTTTTTCCTGGAATTATCTGAAGACTACATTTCTTTCCAATAGGTGGCTGAGATACTTTTGAAATCATATGTTTGAAAGTTAGCATTCATTTGAAAGGGGCTTATTATGAATAACAAAGGAAGCTCCTCTCACCCATATCACTCAGGAAATTCCAAGGATTTTAAAAGCTCTGTGCTAGAAACTAGGGATGAAGACCAAACATATATATTTATTATTTCATGATATCACAGGTAGACATTCTAAAGTTATTCAATGCCATTGACAATAGAGACGTTCGATGTTTTTATTATGAAACAGGAAATGACCATGAGTTTGAAATGTTGAAACAAATTTAAATTTTTTCTGACTTAAATTTTAATCAACTTGTTTCAGTATCTTGATGTTTTTCTTTTTCTCTCTTTTCCTTGTTTCTCTATCTAGATGGCTTTGGAAGATTCAGAACAGAAGCAAAATCTTTTACATTCAATTTTCACGGATCTAGAAGACTTGTCAATAATTTTTGAAACAGATGACTTAACGCAGTCCATACAAGAGTTAAATAGTCAAATAACATCTTTACAACAAAAAATAATGGAAAGCCTTCCACGGATTCAGCGAATGGCTGATGTAAGTTTGCACCATAAAGATGTGATTTCTTATTTTTAATTTACATTTCATTTAGTAAATTATAAGTATACCGTAATCATGTTCTAATTATGTGAAGACATATTGATCTGATAAATTTTTCATTTCTGTTCTTATTTCTTGAATTACATCTTACTTTATTTTGCAACCTGTAGTGCAACAATAATAAAAAGCATATTTCCATTTTCAATCCAGAAGTGGTCTATTTAAAGAGTGAAGAATCCTGATCAAATAAACTGTATTTTCTCTTTTTCATGGAGGAGATACTGTTGATTTAAAAGCACTAATTAGGAAAGAGGGAATTAAAACAGGTAACCTCCCAAATGTTCATTTATCAGTAAGAACTATTTATTGAGGGGCTGCTGTATGCCAGCCACTGGAATTTGTTTTTTTTTTCCTTTTTGTCTTTTTTCGTGCCCAGCAACGGATCGCAACCCTCAGTGTCGCGCCCGTACCGGACCAGGACCGGCTACGGGATCGCAACCCTCGGTGTTGCTCCCACACCTCGCTCAGCCAGTGAGCAGCCGGTCTGTATGTGGGATCCGAACCCTCGGCGGGAGCACTGCCACGCTTCCCAAGCGGCGCACTGTAGCAGTGCGCCACCGGGCCGGCCCTGGATTTTTAAATAATTTTATTTTTGCTTGAAACGTTTGAGGCATTTATTTAAGGATAGTCACATAGTAAAAGCAATTAGTTAGTTCTTAATTATTTACCATTTGTTTCTCAGTTACCGTCCCTACATGACACTCATACAACTTCAGGGAATAATTGTTAAAGTAAATATCCTTGGTTACTGAAGCTTATTCCAAAGTTTTAATATGCTTCTACAGTTTTTGATGGAAATTGCTCTAAAATACATTGTATAACTTTATACACCTTAAGTACTGGGCGCTGAAAATAATTTTAATGTAATTCAGCCTTCCCTCATTATTTGGAGATAACACCATAAACAGTTACTGTACTTACCGCTTCATTTGCTTCAGGCTTGTAGTTTTGTTTGTTCCTACACTGAATGTCTCCAGACTGCTATAATTTGAAGCCCTTAATCTATTTCTATGCTGTTTTTTTTAAAATCCCCTTCATTATTAGCTGTATTTTATTTCTGTAGTGTAGCTACACTGAGCTCTAAGGGGGAAGTCCAAAGGCCCTCTTATCGTTGTGTGGATTTCAATATGTAGGTTTTGCAGCATGTATTTTAACTAATTTTTGCAGCATTTTCACTTCAATGTTCTTGGCCAGGTTCTAGAGGTTGACCTTGATTAGAGAATAACCACTGGAGAAATGATCTATTGTTTAAATTAATCTGAGTAGATTGTTAGGTAATTCAGTGACACTCCGCTTGGCAATAGTTATCAGAAGGTTGGCAAAAAAATCCTGTCAGTGCTCCAGCTCCTCGTGTGTTAGTTTTTCAAGGATGACTTTATCATTTTACTTAAAGTGGTAGGAGTTTTTAAAATGTCAGACTCACTTGTATTCAAGTGTTTAAACACATTCCAAAGGCAAATCTAAAGAGTTTGTAGATAATTGAGTTTATTAAAAACATTGGTTTGGATGCATACCACCTTTGGTCTCATAGCATGAGTTATTGAAAATGGGACCTTTGATGATCTTTAATTCAACAAGGTATAAGTAATGCTTTGTAGTACGGCATGCTATTAAAAGAATAACGTTTTATTGAAAACAATGAACATTATCTATGTAGCACTTGGTTAGTTTTAAGAGGTATGTGGCAAACATTTTTCTGTTAAATGTGAAAATAGAATTAATGGCAATAAGTTATGTTTTATAGATTTTTAATGTACAACGTATATTGCATGAATGTGTTATTCTTTCTGAAATTCTAGGATGTGGTTGCTATTGAATCTGAAGTAAAATCAATGGAGAAACGAGTTTCAAAAATCAAGACTATCCTGTTATCAAAAGAAATATTTGATTTTTCACCTGAAGAACATCTTAAACATGGAGAGGTAAACATGGTTTACTATAAAAGTATTTTCTCATAATTCTTATTATATCTTTAAATATGTAATGATATGTGATTAAAAAGCATTTAGTCTTGGTAGAGTAATAGCAAAGTAATATTGGGAAATAGATATGAATGACTATACATATGTTTTAAATAGTATCCAAAGTACTATCTATGTAATTTTCCTGTAGGTTATTTTTTCATTTAAGTTTTGCCTTCAAGTCATATTCAGGTATTTAGTAGTCTAAGCGTCTGACCACCTAAATCAGGATGCACTGGGTTCCAGTCCCAGCCACACTGCTTCCTGGCTATGTGACTTTGAGTAATTAGTTCATGTTTCTTGGATTCTCTTTTATATTTGCATGTTGGTATTGAGGTGGTTACATTGGTCAGTTCTAATGTATATAGAGCCCCTAGCACAGGAGCTGGGACATACTAAACAGCAGACAAACACGGATTCCCCCTTAGCCTAGTGAATGGGAGCGTGTGCTTTGGGATCAGAAAGGCCTGGGTTCTAATCCTGGCCCTGCCTGTTATAGTCCAACATTGCCTTGGTCTTCTAACTTTTGTGAATCTAATTTCCTTACCTGTGAAATGGAGGTTAGGATTCTTACCTCTCAGGGTGCTTGTAAGGATTAAATGAAATGACATGTGTAAAATATTTAGTAATGTGAATAATCTCTTCTAATTTATTGGTTATGTAAATCCAGATTTCCATGGATCAGATGTTATTAAAGCAAAATGTAATTAATTATATTCCTGCGACTCATGACATTTGGCAGGACAGTTCTGTTCAATTCAGTAAGCATTTTTTTTTTTTCCTTTTTGTCTTTTTTCGTGACCGGCAACGGATCGCAACCCTCAGTGTCGCGCCCGTACCGGACCAGTACTGGCAACGGGATCGCAACCCTCGGTGTTGCGCCCGCACCTCGCTCAGCCAGTGAGCGGCCGGTCTGTATGTGGGATCCGAACCCTCGGCGGGAGTGCCGCTGCGCTCCCAAGCGGCGCACTGTAGTAGTGCGCCACCGGGCCAGCCTCAGTAAGCATTTTTTGAGGGCCTACTATGTGGAAAGCCCTGTGCTAGTTGCAATTGTTACAAAAGTAACATGCAGATCCTGCCCTGACATAGCTCGCTGCCTGATGACAGTATACAAAGCAAAACAGCAGTTCTACAGAGAGAGGGGGAGAGAGAGGAAGAAAAGGGTTGTCCAAATGCATAATTTAGTGCTGGTAGGTTACTCTTGCCCTAGGCATTCTTTCCTGAGACCTTTATTAGAACACAAGTGACATAATAGTTTTTTAAAATCTGAGGAAATGTTTTAAGAATTGAAACTATAAATTAAAAACTAAATTATACAGTATTTTAATTTTGAATAAGCTGCCATTAAAATTAAAGTGGCTTTTTTTTAATGTACCATGCTTCTCTTATATAATTAAGGTTATACTTGAAAATATACGTCCCATGAAGAAAACCATTGCTGAGATAGTGTCTTACCAAGAGGAACTGAGTTTACGCCACACAGGAATGAAACCTCTGCCTGTGTTTCAGCGTACAAATCAGCTTTCACAAGATATAAAACTATTGGAAAATATCACTCAAGAGCAAAATGAATTATTAAAGGTAAGTGGTTTATGATTACAGCCAACTTACTGGATGAAAGTGTTCAGATAGAGCTGGTTTTGCTTTCAATTTTAATTGAAACTAATTATTATCTAGGAGGTGGCATTTGATATAAAAGCATCTCTTCTTGCTCAAATGAGGCTGAGGTTATTTTTCTCAGTTCTTACCCTTGTTCTGGTTGAAGACATTAAAGCATAGTTACAGTCTGTTTGATTCCATCATATGGTTATTGAAGACTTACATGGGTAAAATGATGTGGGAAGAGATTCAGAACTCCATAAGGCATTTGCAATCTCTTGAGGCCAACAGATAATTACCACCACGATAATCACTTTATCCATCACAGTCACTTTCCTGTTGGTCATCAATCACATTTTATTCCCCAAAATGTGATATACATAGAGTAGGCACTTAATATAGTTTAGATGTGTTTGTCCTCCCAAAGCTCATGTTGAGATCTGATCCTCAGTGTGGCAGTGTTGGGAGGTGTTTGTGTCATGGGGGCAGATCCCTTATGAATGGAATAATGCCCTCCCTGGGGGGGAGGGGAGGAGTAGTGAGTGAGTTCTTCCTCTGTTAGTTCCCGTGAGAGCTGGTTGTTTAAGGGACCCTGGTACCTCCCCTCCCCCTCTCTTGCTTCCTCTCACCATATGAATCTCCTTGCACCCTCTGGCTGCATGCCATGAGTGGAAGCAGCCTGAGGCCCCTGCCGGATGCAGCTGTCCCAGAATCGTAAGCCAAATAAACCTCTGTTCCTTGTAAATTACCCAGTCGCAGGTGTTCTGTTATAACAACACAAAAATGGACTAATACAGCATGTTACCATCTTTATTTTTCCATATTAGGAGACTAGTGTTAGAGGGTTAAATGACTTGCTAAGAGATCACAGAGTTAACTTGTGTAGACGTTAATTAGTATACAGATAGGACAAGAATTTGAGTTTCTAAACTCCTGGTATCATTTCTCCACATGAGGGCCTCTTCTAACTGACAACATCTTTCAGCTTCTCCCCAGAGGTTTTTTTCTTGTTTGGTTTTGTTTGATCACCAGTCTCAAGTCAGGAATCATCTTTAGTTAGAAATTACCTTTTTCTTTGGTTTGCATTCCTAGATCAACAACCACTCCCACAAGAGCAGAAAGTTGCTGAAAGAGCCTTAAATTCCATAGACTTTCAATCCCTTGGTAGATCCCCTGCCTCTTGCTTTTCCTGATTAGAAGGTCAGTTTAGAGAAGAGGTTATTTTTCCCTCCTTCACAACTAGAAAACGCTATGTCTTATTCCCTCTTAAATTTCATTCACATCTAGGTGGCCACTCTGTTCTCCTGAGGTTTGAGGATACTGTACTCTCTGGTTTAAGTCTTAACTCATACGGTCTGTCTGGCCTGGCTACTGAGCAACAAACATCATTTTCTAATACCCACAGAGAGAAAAAAGATCTTGCACTCAGTGTATTATTTTTTAGTAATATAAAGAGAAGAAAAAAAATACCAAACTTGGTCTATTATTATTAATTTATATGTGCCTTATTGGTCTCCTGGTCAGGAAAAGAAAATAAGAGTCCTAACTATGCTTTAAAGTGGCTTCTTCACAAGATGAAAGGGGGGGAAAGAAGAGGATATTATATTTTGTGCCAAGTTAGGTATCAAACTGTGCCGCTAAAATTTTCCATGTTATTGTGTTGGTGGAAATCAGATGTCCCCCCGTATATTTCAAAGCCAAGTAAGCCAGTGGCAATGAAAATCGTTAGAATAAATATATTTCCTCTAATTCCTGCTTTAGAAAGATAGTAAGTGCCCTTTTGGAAAATAAAACAATTTACTTTTGTGGGGAGTAAGGGGGGATGTAGCTTATTATTGAGGACTGAGGAACAGGTGTGTGTACTGAACATAATTATTCATTTTTATGCTGCAGCTAAAATTACAGTTAAATATTAAAGAAAATACAAGGACAAATTTTGTATGGGCCAGAGACTTTGAAGTTTTAAAGGGCATTTTCTTCATTATGAAGCATAACAAGGAAATATCTAGATTTTCTTTTGAAGTTCATTTCTTTATCCTTCATCATACTTTGATCATAACATCCAGTCCACAAATAGGTCTGAGCTCTGCTACTCTCTTAACACTAGATTCCAGATACTGTTCTGGTTACTTTTGCCTTATTCTGCAAACTCAGACTGCTCTCGAACCCTCAACCTCTTACTCATGAAATGTACATCACTGATCTCAGGGGTACCAGGTGAGGATGTGTCTGGACCTGGAAAATCCATCGTCACTCAGATCACATGCCTTGTTCATTCTGAATCAATAATGTCACCTTTCTATTTGGAAAGCCATACATGGAATATGTATCGAAATGGTGTATATGACATATCACTCATTTCATAAAACTTAGCACCTTTATGTTAACATGCCATAAAATGCTTCCCAGAATAAACTCACTAGACTGGAAATTCTTAAGAGCAATGGTATGTCTAGTTAGACTTGTACTCCAAGCACTCCCAGGTGCTCCAGCAACTAGTAGAGCAAGAAGACCAGGTGCCAGCCTTGCAAACATTGTTCTCTATGTTTAGGCTTCCATTTCTTATTGAAATCTGAATGGGTGCGTATTTGCTATAATTGATTGGAACCTGTGATGGGGATAGACAGGGGAAATAGCCTATTAATATAGTCCTTAGATTATGACAAAGATTCTTCTTTTGGGGTGGTTATTTTATAGGTAGTCATAAAACAGACCAATGAATGTAATGAAGAAATAGAACATTTGAAACAGATCTTGAATAATTATTCAGCTGAGTTCTCTCTTGAACATATGTCACCAGACCAAGCTGCCAGCCTGCCGCAAGTACAGGTATGTTTCTTCATTCATTCATCCATCGGTTCATTCAATAATCACTTAGTAGGCCTTGGCGTCTAGAAGCCATTGTAGTGGTACAGTGTAATTTCCTACTTCTCTCTTCCAATTGAATGCATTTTCTGTGTGTATTTACTTTCCATTCCTGTTTAATGAAATAGATGATTGTGTAATTATTGTTTCTAAAAAGTGAGGAAATTGCTGTCCTGATGTTTAATTGAGAAAAGCCATATCTGTTTGTAGGCTGGTTGGTCCTAACCCCAGAAACTGGGCCAGGGCTGCCCCACCTCCTTCCTTATCGGAGGGCTTTTTAAGTGCCCATAGCTTCAGGTTGGTGCATTTGGGTCTGAATTTTCTCTGCTGCCAAAAAGACTGATATAGCACAGGATATTTGGACAACCTGAGTTTCTGGGATAGAGGTTGGGCAGTGTGGGCAGGTAAAGACTTCAGAGGTAAAGACCCTGAACACTAGTAATGAAGAGTCCTATAGACTAAGCAATATTGCCATACACCATAATTAAGTGTCCTGTAGACCCAGTTACAATGGTTCCCATGTTAACCCTCGACTGCTAGGGTTTTTCTTTTCTTTTTTTTTTTTTTTTTTTTTTTTTTCCGTTTTTCCGTGTCCAACAACGGATCGCAACCCTCAGTGTCGCCCCCATACCGGACCGGGACCGGCAGCGGGATCGCAACCCTCGGTGTTGCTCCCGCGCCTCGCTCAGCCAGTGAGCGGGAACCGGTCTGTATGTGGGATCCGAACCCTCGGCGGGAGCGCCGCCGCGCTTCCCAAGCAGCGCACTATAGCAGTGTGCCACCGGGCCGGCCCATGCTAGGGTTTTTCTAATCTTTGTTTTTAAATTAGTATTTCTTTCTGGGGGGGCAGCTGGCTGGTACAGGGATCCAAACCCTTGACCTTGCTGTTATAACACTGTGTTCTAACCAACTGAGCTAACCAGCCAGCCCCTTGAATTAGTAAATTAGTATTTCTACAATGAAAAAAACTGATTATATGCCAGGGATTGTAGAGAGCTGCTTTTTTTCCCCTTTTCTTTCTTTCTTTCTTTCTTTTTTTTTTTTAAAGGCAATTAATATGGTACTCAAAGCAAGATTACACCACTTGCTAGCAGTGAGGCTTAGGGCAAGTTACTTAACATCTATGGTGAAGTACAGAGGAGTCTAAGGTGAAACAGCTATTAAGTGGTGGAATCAATAGTGTAGACTCAATATTAAAGACTCAATATTATAAAAATGTCAAATTTTCCTTTACACTAAGAAAATTCAAGGACCTCTAAACAGCTTTTGTTTATTTAAGTTAAAGCTACTGATACAGAAATTAAAACTCAGAAATGTAAAAATATTTGTTTAGTTTATTTTAAAATAACGATAACAAACCTATTACATGTTAATAGCAATAGTGTTTTATTAAAGTAAATATATTTTCCAAAACAAAAAGTAGTGTGAAGAGTGACATTGACATTATAGTAAATCGCTAATGCCTGGCAATAGAAGCCAGCTAGATTCTCCTCTGTTTCTGCACTCAGTCTGTTGCGTTTTCTTTGATGTATGTAAAGACAATCCAACCTCTCAAAGACATTTGGAAGAGGGAGAAATATTTTAATAGCTCTTTTGAAATATCATGGACATTTTTCTTTGAAATTACACTAAAACCCAACAAGTGGAAGTTACTCACAGGTGTGTTGTAAAGTGGAATCTGAGGCCATGTCAATGAGCTTTTCATGCTCTTACGTTACATTCCACTGGTCTGTCTTGCACTTTGAGTGGATTTTCTGTCCATGCATGATTTTCTAACATCATGTTTGATCATTTGGAAAATGCTGTTTCACTGCATTATACAGATCTTCCAAATATTGACGCATTTCAGTAGTTAATATTTAAAAAATTGCATTTGTTAATATTAACACCTGTCTCTTCAGAAAAATCTTTAAGTATAGTAGTTAAGTATTTTGTATCAAGTATAAGTATAGGTTACCAGCTGGATTTTTTTCCAAATAAAAATATTGTTCTATGAAAAATGAGTAGCTCACACACACCTCAAACAACAGCATGAGCACTTTTCCTCACCTGTCACCCTTTGGCATGAAGCAGAAGTGCTCGATGCATCCTTCCTGTTCTGTCACACAGAATATTAAAGATAAATGTTGCTGTGGTTCAGATGTTTTTGTCCTCTCCAAAAATTCATGTTGAAACTTGAATTTGAATATTGGGAGGTGATTTAGTCATGAGGCTTTCTCCCTCACGAATTGCATTAGGTGCCCTCATAAAAGGGCTTGAGGGAAGGAGTTGGCCTCCTTTTTGCCCTCCCACCTTCTGCCATGTGAGGACACAGCGTTCCTCCTCTCCGAGGGCATAGCATTCAAGGCACAGTCTTGGAAGCAGAGAGCAGCCCTTACCAGATGCTGAAACTGCCGGCACCTTGATCTTGGAATTCCAGCCTCCAGAACTGTGAGAATATATAAGTTTCTGTTTTTTTGTAAATTACCCAGTCTCAGGTATCATGTTATGGCAGTGCAAACAAAGACACATGTCTTCATCAAGGACATTCTTAAGTGAAACTGGCTTTTTTCCCCCACTATAAGTACTATGTAGTGAGGAGCCCATTAACTAATAATATAGTTGGTGTCCCTGCGTTGTTTCGTATAAGGTACCAGGAGTTTAACGTACCATTGCTTTTGTGCCATCAGTGCAAATGTCAACATAGTGAAAAAGGCAAATAACATTTTAGTATTTTTATGGGAACGATCTTGACCTCATGGGTTGTGGCCCCTTGGGTCTGCTGTGTGTCCTGCTGTGCCTCCATAATGTTGGCAGCTCAGCAGACTACTCTGTTTCTCTAAGGGCTGCGGTGTATTGCTCTTGTTGGGAGGCACTATTCTAGTGTTTAGTGCTTACTGAAAATGGCACACAAACCACAGCCAACTCACATTTAATTCAGACAATTATTATTTTCCAAAAGCAATCATAGGAATTTTGGCTTCAGACAGAATAAGTGTATTGGTGTAGGAATATGTGCACTAGAGACACAAGGAAGCCCAGGGCTTTGTGTTGTCGCGTGCTAGCTGCAGCCTTGGACAAATCACCTTCTTTCTCTGGACTTCAGAACTTTCACTTGTGGGTGGAGACATATTGTGTTTGTGTCTGTAAAAAACTTAACGATTCTACGAATATCTCTAGGATGGGTGGATGATGGATGGATGGACAGACAGGAAGGAAGAAAGAAGGAAAAGGAAAGGATAGGGATTTAAGGAATATATTAGGAACAAATTTCAGACACATGAAGGTTTCTTGAGAAGGAGCAGGCTGCCTTCTGATGCAGCACTCACTGAAAGAGCTCAGGCGCATGGTGAACAATACCCTTTGGAGGTGCTAGAGAGGAGGATGTTAAATTATTTGACACCTGCTATTCCTTCCAGATCTAGGATTCTATAACTTTTTTTTTTTTTTTTGACGGCTGGCCAGTATTGGGATCTGAACCCTTACCGTGGTGTTACAACACCATGTTCTAACCAACTGAGCTAGTCAGCCAGCCTAGGATACTATAATTCTCTTAGACAGACAGTGGGCATCTGCATATCTACCATGTTGTATCAGAAATTTTATTTGCACATATCAATAATACAAATGTTAAAAGTAACGTTATGAAGCTTAGGATCATTCATCCATCATACCCACAGTAAGTTATACTGCACAGTACATTTACTTGTTTGTTTATTCCCGTTTGGTAGGAAGCTTTGATTGTAAAAAAAAAAAAAAAAACAGTAAAGGAATTGAGTAGTACCAAAGAAGGCAATAATAAAAGAATGAAATTTCTAACCTTGTTTTCTCTCAGTGGTTTCCAAACGTTAGTCTACTTAAGAATCCCTGGGGGAGACATGGGAACATGTCTCCTGGGAACGTGCATTCTTAATACTCTGACAAAATGGGAAATACATGAAAGGCACTTAACATATCAATAATACAAATGTTAAAAGTAACATTATGAAGCTTAGGATCATTCATCCATCATACCCACAGTAAGTTATACTGCACAGTACATTTATTTGTTTGTTTATTCCCGTTTGGTAGGAAGCTTTGATTGTAAAAAAAAAAAAAAAAACAGTAAAGGAATTGAGTAGTACCAAAGAAGGCAATAATAAAAGAATGAAATTTCTAACCTTGTTTTCTCTCAGTGGTTTCCAAACGTTAGTCTACTTAAGAATCCCTGGGGGAGACATGGGAACATGTCTCCTGGGAACGTGCATTCTTAATACTCTGACAAAATGGGAAATACATGAAAGGCACTTCTGCTGCATGTTTTTAAGTGCAGATTGGCCCTGGCTCCGTCGATGCTGGTTCTGTCAGTCTTGTGGCTAGCTGCTCAGCAGTGGCTCCCAACCCTGGCAGCTCACCAAAGTCACCGTGGAGCTTATTACAAGTTTCTGTGCTTCAACTCGACCCCTAGAGATTCTGATTCACAAAGTCTCCAGTGAGGCTAAGGTGTCCTACAGCCTATAAACCCTGCATAGCACCTCTGGAAATGTAGCCAGGATGGAGAGGAACAGCTACCAGAGAGTAGCTCCTAACTTTGCAGATCAAACAGCATAGACAAGACTTTATCCCATGTACCAGAGGTCTCCTGTAGACATGCAAAGGTCTCAGACTTCCCAGAACAATGCAAACACTTTTTCTACACAGAGAGAAATCGAAGGTATGGAAAAGCAGATTCTGGGTTTGAACCAGAAAAAGGAAGACCTGTTGGTGGACTTAAAGGCTGCCGTACTAAACCTTCACCAGCATTTGAAGCAAGAACAACAAGAAGTAGAAAGAGATATGCCGTCTGCCGTGGCAGCAGAGGAGGATGGAATGGCCAAGAGGGATGCTTCTGAGTGGAAGGTGGGCATGACTTTGGGGGAAGGCTGGGCCCACATTCCACCAGAGCCTTAATGGGTCGTGTTTTTTACCTGAGCAACCTGTGGCATCTATATCTATGGCCTTTAATAAAGGAATTTTTAAAAGTAGAAGTACTCCATCCAAGGTTGTTTACTAGTGAAAATAAATCCTCGGGGTGTGTCTGTTCTGGACTCAACCCAGAATTCTTACGCCTGAGTTACTTAAGAACGTGCTTATGAAATTCCACAGGCAGGTGGGTCGAGCCACCTTTGAAGTTTCGTCCTATGGAAAAGTCAGCCCATTGCAGACTCGAAAATGGCCCAGTACCTCTCTAAGCCCACTCTAAATCCACATCAATGAATCACATTCTTAAATTGTTTGATGAGGGTCACAGGGTGCCTTGCAAAGGAAAGGGACCTAAGATTTGACGGAGTCAGGGTATTCAGTTGAATGAACTAAAAGGTGCTGGACCCAGAGGCTGCTTGTGTGGTTGGGCAGCTCAGATAAAGTGAATAAAAAATTAGCTACATAAAAATGTAGCCAGGCCAGGGTCCTGGGGATGTTGAACAGCAAACTGACGACAGGTGTTCTTGTGCTGTGCCTTTCAGTTGAGCAGAACAGGCTCCATGTCCTTCCTGCCAGCGGTCGAGGAAGAGGTGGAAGAAATCTCCGGGAAGAGTGAAGTAAGGAAAATGATTTTCTCATTAAAGTTTGTTAGAACTGAATCTCTAAAAGGTGGTCAGTGAAAAGATTTGAAAGTGAATGGAAACCTAAGGATATTTTTAATTAATGTGGATATTTTTAATTAATGTTGATATTTTTAAAGTATGATAGAAGTCATTCTCTTATGTTATTAATGTTGCTTAAGTGCATCTAAACCTGCATCACCATGTCAGGGTGGGTTAAATTTAATTCAGACACACTTGTTAGCATAAGGGAGAAGAAGTTCTGTGTCCTGTCCTGGCTTCTGAGGACTTTCTCTGAAGCCTTCAGAGTATGCTGTTGGCACCCTGATGTTATTCTTAGAACTTTATTTTTCCATATTTGAATTACTTTTTTGGTCTACAACAGTATTGCCAAGGACACAGAGTTGTGTTAGCAACTAATACTGCTGATTCTTACAACTTTGTTATAACTGGCTGAATTGAGACATTTACAGTTGCCCTTCCTGATATCAGTTTTCATTTCATGCTTTAGAGACTAAAGTTATAATGGGTCATATGCCAAAAGGAAGAAAATTGCTGCAACTTAGTTTTTATGGCTCACATGTAACCAACAGACATTTTTTAATGCTCATTTTATACATTGTTAAATAGCTCCATTGTCACACAGAACAGACCTCTTGTCGTATAGTGTATCACTAGGACACAGTGGGACTGAATGGTAGCCCAAGGAAGAGTACAGGTTTACTAAATACTCTGACCGTCAGACAGTTTCACAATCTCATTATGCCACCTTCGTGGCAGAGAGAATTGTGAGAATGGAGGAGGTGCCCGGGGCCAAAAGAGTGCACTTCAGTGTGATTTTTATTTGAGACTGTGATTTTTAATTTGAGAAACGGTTTTAATTTGCTTCTGGGCTAATATGTTTATAGTACTTGTTGTTTATCTTTGAAAACAACAACAAAAAAATACATCTTCAGCAAGCTATTGTTTTTTTACCTGACAACTAAAAACAACTAAAAATTATATGTATTTATGGTATACAACATGATGTTTTGATATATGTATACATTGTGGAATGGCTAAATCAAGCTAATTAGCATGCATTTCCTCATGTACCATATTTTGTGGTGAGAGCACTTAAAGTCTACTCTCAGGGATTTTCAGGAATACAATATCCTTATTTTATTTTATTTTTTAAAACATGACCAGTAACTGGATCTTAACCCTTGACTTGGTGTTGTCAGCACCACGCTCAGTCAGTGAGCAAACCAGCCATCCCTGTATAGGATCCGAACTGGTGGCCATGGTGTTATCAGCACCACACTCTCCCAAGTAAGCCACAGGCCAGTCCCAGTACAGTATCCTTATTAACTGTAGTCACCATGTTGTACGATAGGTTCTCTTGAACTTACTCCTTCTGTCCAACTGAAATTTTACATCCTTTGACCAGCATCTCCCTAATCTCCTCAACCTCCAGTAACCATCATTTTAATCTGTTTCTGAGTTTGACTTTTTTATACTCCACAAAGAAGAGATCACGTGGTATTTGTCTTTCTGTGCATGGCCTATTTCACTTAACATAATGTCTTCCTGGTTCATCCATGTTGTTGCAGATGACAGAATTTCCTTTTTTTATGGTCAAGTAGTATTTCATTGTTGTATAAATACCACATTTTCTTTATCCATTCTTCTGTCAGCGGACACTTAGGTTGATTCCACATCTTGGCTATTGTGAATAGTGCTGCAGTGAACATGGGAGTGCAGACATCTCTTCAACATACTGATTTCATTTCCTTTGGATATATTCCCAGTGTTGGGATTGTTGGATAATATGGTGGTTCTATTTTTAATTTTTTGAGGAAACTCCATACTATCTTCCATAGTGGCTGTACTAATTTACCTTCCCACCAACAGTGTTCAGAGTTTCCACTTTCTCCACATCCTCACCAAAACTTATTACTTTATAAAAGCCAATCTAACAGGTGCAAAGAGATATCTCATTGTGGTTTTAATTTGCATTTCTCTGATGATTGGTGATCTTGAGAATTTTTTCTTATACTCATCAGATGGTTATTTTGAAGATAACATTTAAGGTAACATTTACCAAAGCAGATTAAATTCCTAAAGCACTGTTTTGAATTCTCCTTTGTATGATGTGAGCTGACTCCCTACTTTTAAAAATATTTTTTAGACTTCAGGAAGAGCAACCACATTTGGAAACATGATTTAGTTAGCAAAAGAAATAGATGGGAAAAATAGGGAAGGGATGGAATTAAGGGCTAGGGTTATGCTGCCTGGTAAGCTGAGTCTTGTATAAAAGACACAAGCAGGATGCTGGTTATGACAGTAAGAAATCACTTCCCCTTGCTAATCAATTGATTACTGTGTTAGAATGGAGATAAGAAAGCAGAGCCATCTTCCGGGTCTTGGTCTTTACTCTGGAAGCATGACAAGGACATGGAGGAAGATAGAGCATCCTCGTCCTCTGGAACGATTATTCAGGTAATACTGAGCATATCACATTTGGGAGCCAGGGGTAGGGGCAGGGAGCTCTTTTTACCTGACTCTGTGTTGGCTTTGTTTCCCCTCTTCTCCTTTTCCTTTGGTTTTCAGTCAGGATCTCCCAATAGGAATAAGGAACAGTAAAGAACTATCTTGTTTGAAAGAATGCATAGGAAGGAAACCTGCTTGGACTGAAAAAAAATTTTTTTTGTAGTTGATGAATAAAAATTGTATATATTTATGGTGTACAACATAATGTTTTGACATACATATACATCATGGAATGGCTATGTTAACTAATTAACATATGCATTACCTCACATATTTATCTTTGTTTTTTGTAGTGAGAACACTTAAAATCTACTCTTCAAGCTATTTTTAAGTATGCAATAGAGTTGATCCTTGAACAACAGAGGTTTGAACTGCGTGGGTTTATACGAAGTTTTTTTTTTTTTTTAAAGATAACTCTAAGTACCAATAAATACAGTGCAGTATTATAAATGTATTTTGTCTTCCTTATGATTTTCTTAATATTTTATTTTCTCTAGCTTTATTTTGAGAATACAGTATATAAAACATATAACGTACAAAATACATGTTAATTGACTGGTTATTGATAAGGCTTCCAGTCGATAGATAATAGGCTATTAGTAGTTAAGTTTTGGGGGAAGTCAAAAGTTATACACAAGTTTTAGACAGTGCAGGGCGTCAGCACCCGTAGCCCCCATGTTGTTCAAGGGTCAGCTGTACGTTGTTATTAACCAACTATAGTTACCATATTGTACATTAGATTCTCTTGAACTCATTCGTCCTGTCTAACTGAAACTTAGGATCCTTTGACCAACATCTCCCCAGTCCCTTCCCCCAGCTCCTGGTAACCACCATCCTACTCTCCGCTTCCGTGTGCTCCACTTTTTTAGATTCCAATTATAAGTGAGATTGTGCAGTACTTGTCTTTCTGTGTGTGGCTTATTTCACTTAACATAGTGCCTTCCAGGTTCATCTGTGCTGTCACGAATGAAGGGTTTCTTTTTTAAGGTTGGACGGTATCCACTGTGAATATACACCACATTTTCTTTATCCATTCATCTGATGGACACCTAAGTTGATTCCATAACTTGGCCGTTGTGAATTTTTTCGAGCTTCTCAATGTTACCTCTGCACAAATCCAAAGACAGACAAGCACCTGCTTATTCTTTGCATTTCTATTGTGCACTCAGTGATAATAGGAGAGTATTTTTCTGAGGAAAACTCCGTATATGAAAATCCAGACTAACAAAACATAGACGAGCACCTAAAAGGTTCACCACAGCATTTCACCGAAACATTAGATATGCCTCTCTTTGGGGGGTATTTTAGGGGTGCTCTCCCCATTGTCCTTTTTTTTGAACAAAGAAATGTATAAGATAAATTAAATGTGATAAGTCTTTTTGTTCCTTATGACATTCTAAATCTTCTCCAATCTGTCAAAATAGAAGGCAAATGCCCTGGCTTTAGAAAATCATTGTAAACTGATGTGAAAACGGTGTCCTTCCTTTGCTTCTGAAAGATCTCTTCATCTTGGCCCATGCACCTCCCCCTCCTGCCTCCCATCTGGGCTAACCCCTCCTCCAGCTCCCATGCCACCCCTCCATTAACCGCTGGCACCGTGTTCACTCGTGCCACTGTCTTCCGCCTCTGCTTTGAAGTATGTGGGTTTCCCTCCCTAACTTTAACACGTTCCCTCCTGCATGGCCCCACCCCTCTAAACCTCTGATGGCCCATCCCAGAACCCTGCCTGTCTCTTCAGTCGCTGTGCAGAAAAGGCTTTGCATCCCTGCGATGCCCCTTCTCCGTGTCTGCTGGTAGACTTCCTCCCCATCCACACAGGCCCATCTCAACTTCCACCTCCTCCAAGAAACCTCCTGAGATGCGACCAGGGAAATGGCTGTCTCTCTGTTTCCCGCTGGCATTCTGAACCTCAATTGTGACTCACCACATTGTATACATACACCTGACACAAGTTCATGAATGGCAAGAACCTGATCTACCTATTCATGTCCTGTACTCGGCTCAATATGGTACTCTCATGGTTGAATTTCCTGCAAATGTGGTACTTCCTCTTTCATTTACCGCTAAATGTGTTTGCTAGGTGCTCCCCCACTCCCTACCCCCTGCCCTTTTGTAATCTAGTTTCTGACTCTGGCTATGCCTAAAGTGAGACACTGCTGAGCACCTCTTCCTTGTTGGAATGTAGTGTTCCTTCGACCTTAATCCTGCTCTTTCCTGTCTCTCCCACCTCTCAGCCCTCCTGGGTCTCCCCCTCCTGCCCCTCTCTGTCCTCGGCTCTGTGGTGGCAGGCATTTCCCGTGTTCTGTCCTCCTCCTCCTCTTGGTTTTCTCTCATGGCACCTTCTTCTCCTCCCGTAGATTTGGTAGTCTCCTCCATGCCAGTGATTCCCAAATCAAATCTCTAATCTTGACTTTTCCCTTAAATCTATTCCATATTTCTGATAGATTTCTCTTTTTGGATGGATTTTCTTCATCTCAAAATCATTTTACAAACTTTCCTTCAAAGCTTGCTCTTCCTCCTAATTTCTTTCTTTCCTTTTTTATGCAGCGGGCCAGTGCAAGGGATTCAAACCCTTGCTCTCGGTGTTATAACACTGCACTCTAACCAACTGAGCCAACCAGCCAGCCCCTTATTTCTCCATATCTACTAATGGCACCACTATTTTCTCAGACAAATGTTAGGGATCCTCTTAGCTACCTCATTTCTCTTGCCTTTCATATCCAATCAGTGGTCAAGTGATGTCCATTCGATGCTTACATCCTTCTCCTCCATTACTTTTGCCATCATACTATTTCAAAAAATGGTTACTACTTCCCGGGACTTTTGGGTTAGCCCTCTAATTGGTTTTACAACCACCAGTTATTTTTCCTAATATGTCTTGTAAAATACTAACTTATTTTTTCCTAAAGCAAAAAATGCTAAAGCTACAGCTTAAAATCCTTCATGGATTCTGATTATCTACTGAATAAAATGCAAACCTCTTAGCCTGGCATTCTAGACCTTTCATGATTCCTACCTACCTTTCCAATTTTATCTATTTTATCTCTAGTTCTTGGTTCCTGCCTTTCAGTCAGCAGTTATTATTTTTAGTGGAAGGAGCTATTGAGGAACTAACATTTTGTTAGGAACCTCTAAATGATTTATATGCATCATCTCATTTAATTATGACAAGGTTGAGTGAGGTGGGTTTTCCCACTTTAAAGATGAAGTAGCGGAGGTTCAGAGAGTCCAGGTTAACTTGTCCAGGATCACGCAACTTATAAGTAGAGCAATCAAGATTAGTTGATTATAACATCCATATGCTTCCCACCACACTGTGTTAATTATTTTTGTTCATGTCATTTTCCCATTGTTTAACCTTGGTTAACTTTACAAGTGGGATTGCTGGATCAAAGTATATATCCGTTTAAAATGGGATCTGTGTTGCCATAGTGCCTTCTAGAAAGACTATACCAATTTTTTCCTCCTAGGAGTGCATAGAAGTACCTGTTTCCTGGCCCCAAGCTGATACTGGTATTATTGGTCTTAGCCAAGCTTAGTCAGTGGTTTTAATTGAATTTATATTCCAAGAGTGTTGAATATCTCTATAGATGTCTGTTGGGCTTTTGTAACTCCTCTTTTACGAATTGCTTGTTTATGCCATTTGACTATTTTTCTACATAGGGGTTGATGTTTTCTTGATTTATAAGGGTAATTAATATATTAAGGCTATTAATACCTTGTTAGTAGTTATGCCACTTTGTCATTTCTCTTTAACTTAGATTATGGTGCTTTTGTGGTACATATTATTTTATTTTTTATGTTGTCAGTACTAACATTTCTTTCCTTTATGGCCATGCTTTTAGAGTTCTTTCCCAATTATAGATTAGAAAAAGGCTCACTCATATTTTCTTTAAGAATTTTTGTGGTATGATTTTTACAGGTAAATATCAGATACAATTAAAATTCATTGTTAGGAGTAAGAAAAGGATTTAGTTACATTTTTTCATGAAATGTCTGTGCACTTGTCCCCAAATTCAATATGTTAATCTTTCCCCTCATTATTTGAAATGTGGCCTTTATAAGAAAAGGATTTAGTTACATTTTTTCATGAAATGTCTGCGCACTTGTCCCCAAATTCAATATGTTAATCTTTCCCCTCATTATTTGAAATGTGGCCTTTATCATTGTCATCTCATTTCATTTTTATTCTCACAATAATCTGCTTACGTACCTAATTCTCCAGATTCCTCATGTGCTCCTCCTCAAGTAGAGTTTTAGAGAATTTACATCTTTCAAATAAAGGCAAATCTGAGGAAGTTGATTTTTTTTCCTAATGAACTGTTTTTAAATGCACTTGACTTCTGGACATTTTTGCAAGCAGGCAACATGTGAAATGAGCAGGCATAGGAAGAGCGGCTCGGGTGGCAGCAGGGCAGGACCTTTCCTGGACCTCTGATTCTTTTCTTTACAGGAGGCCGATGAGAAAATAAGCACCTGTGATAGTTCAATGGTACAAATTCTTGCCTCAGACTCACTAAACACCGAGCAAGGCCCACAATTTTCCCAGAGGCCCAACCATGCAGAAAAGGTAAGTCCCTGTCTGTAAGAAGCCAACTGCTCAGATACCTGGGCTAGCCCCAGAGATGGCCAGCTTTCTGTGTCTTGCAGTACTTTGTGTTTTGAGCCAAGTGTTCCTTGTAGACTTCAACATCTTCTTGTGTGCCATCGAGCTGTGGAACTGGGAGATTCAACATCAGATATTTGCACAGAAAATCAATCAGCCTGGCATACAGCAGTTAGACACTTTCTACTTCTTCCCCACTTGTCAGAAAGAAATAGTCTTTCTATTAATGACTACTTCCTTTATGTGTAGATATGACTTATGAGGGCAATGAAAGTAGAGAAGGACTAATATATATTTTTTTTTTGTCCTTTTTTTTTTCCCGTGTCCGGCAACGGATCGCAACCCTCAGTGTCGCCCCCATACCGGACCGGGACCGGTAACGGGATCGCAACCCTCGGTGTTGCTCCCGTGCCCCGCTCAGCCAGTGAGCGGGAACCGGTCTGTATGTGGGATCCGAACCCTCGGCGGGAGCGCCGCCGCGCTTCCCAAGCGGTGCACCATCGCAGTGCACCACCGGGCTGGCCCCGAGAAGGACTAATATTGATTAATGGCTTATTACATAAGAGAGGCAATTATATTTGTCGCAGTGCACCACCGGGCCAGCCCCGAGAAGGACTAATATTGATTAATGGCTTATTACATAAGAGAGGCAATTATATTTGTCATCTGTTTACTCCTCAAGTTATATAAGGTAGGTTGATACCTACCATATGTTTACAAATGAGGAAATAAAAATTCCGGAAATAAAAAAAAATACAGCTAGTAAATGGGGAAGTTAGGAATCAAATCCAGAATATTCTAATCTGCTTTCCTAATTTAAAATCCTCTACCTCAATCATTCTCAAAAAGGCCTTCCAGGGGGCATTATTTCCCGAGTTAGTTTTGTTTAGCTGAACCTAAAGCTCCTTGGGTCTCACTAAGTAGCTCTTGAAAAAGACACTAGCATGCTTTGCTGCTTTCTTCTTTTATACTGAGGTCTGTTTACAAGTATGCTTTTTTCTCTCAATCTTTAGTCTTACAAAAATATATATTAGTTGTCAAATTGTTATTCCTTATTCTATCTTTCGTTCCTTTCATTCTCTATCTGACAATATCTGCCCAACAAGGTGGGCAAATGTCAGAAGTTTACACTCATTGGCAATACTTAGGTCTAAGAAAGTTGCTGACCTGGCCAATAATTTTGTTGCTCACCAGAATTAATATGTTATTTTTGACACCTAATTAAAAATCAGAGGTAGCCTCTATAATGTTTTAGCTACAGGAGCCATTCTGCTTAGTACTTGTTTCTGCTGGGAATGGATGATCTGTGGGGTCTTTTGCCCTGACCACTTGGATGGTAGATAATAATGACAATGAAAAGGAGGAGGAAAGGAAGATGACAAAATATTTTCTGAACACTTACTATGGGCCAGGCACTGGGATTTTACACATATTATCTCTTTTAGTCCTTACAACAACTCCATGAGGTAGGTCCTACTACTATTTCACTTTACAGATGGAGAAATTGAGGCTCAGAGAAGTTGAGTTGCCCAAGACCATACAGCTACCAAGTGGCAGTTAAGATTCAAACCCAGATCTTTCTGCCTCTGTGTTTAGAACCTGAGCTTTTAGGCCCCAGTGACTCTCAAACTGTATTTTCTTCCTAACAGAGAGAACTTTTGCCCTGGGGGGAACCGCATGGATTCTTGAAGCTGAAAAGTTAGCTGTTACCTTTTACCACAGCAGAAATCAGTTCACTTTTTTTTTTTTTTTTACTTTAATTAACAAATAATAATTGTATGTATTTATGGGGTACAAAATGATATTTCATTAAATGTGTGCAATGTGGAATGATCAAATCAGTGTAATAGCACATCTGTCACCTCAGACATTTATCATTTTTTTGTGGTGAGAATGTTTGAAGTCCTCTCTTTTAGCTAGTTTGAAATACATAGCATATGATCAACTATAAGTCGCGTTGCTGTGCAATAGAACAGCAGAGCTTGTTTCTCATATCTAACTGTAACTTTTGATTATTCAGGGGCTCTTTTACCCACCAGGTCCAAGTCCCACACATCTCCTCCCTTTTAGTCATTTCCGTCTTATTGCATGGCACACACCACTAGAGAGGGAAGGTGGAAACTCCACAGAGCCCAGGCAGCCACTGTCATCAGCTGTGGTAACAACAAATCTTTTGTTTCAGAGGTTAAGTGCATTGAGCAAATGACAAAATAATTTTTAAAAAGTAAATTCTGAATCATCCTTGACCCATGTTGCAACAAAGAATAAATATTTAGTACAGAAAGATGTGAAACCAAGATAGGCTTGACTCACATGGTAACCATCACCATACTATGCCAGTGGCTTGTCTTGTATTTGTGCATTTGCAGTTAGGTATTGCACTTTAGGCAGGCATATTTTATAAGAAGTGGAGATGTCTGTAGAATTGACTATAAAATATTAAGGAGTAAATTGAAAGCACTGGTATTTTGGCAAGAAAAGTAGCTACAGCCAGAAAATCAGCTTGTATTTTAGCTGCAGTTCTACTACATAGTTCATTGACATGTTGATGCAGGAATTAAGCCATGTGATTCACTGAGAGGCTAACTTGGATACTAGAAGGTTGGTGAAGTTATGTCAAGAATGTGGGCTTGTAGATTCCAAAGCACAGTGAAATCAGGGATTGGATTCTGGTTCTACTTACTAGTTATGTGGCCATAGGCAGTTTGACTCGCCTCTCTTAGCCTCAGTTTCCTCATCTGTGCAGTGCGAATAATAATAGGCTTGTGGTGTGGAATAGTGAGGTAGCCTTTGTACTATGCTTTGCACAGTGGTGCCTGCTCACGATAAGAGCCCAATAGCAGTTAGGTATTATTAATTTACAGTTATACTGTAGACATATATTTCTTATTTAATAAGAAATACCTGTGGTATGGGCCGGCCCGGTGGCGCACTGCTACAGTGCACCGCTTGCGAGCGCGGTGGCGCTCCCGCCAAGGGTTCGGATCCCACATGCAGACCGGTTCCCGCTCACTGGCTGAGCGAGGTGTGGGAGCAACACCGAGGGTTGCGATCCCGTTGCCGGTCCCGGTCCGGTACGGGCGCGACACTGAGGGTTGTGATCCATTGCCGGACACGAAAAAAGGAAAAAAAAAAAAAAAAGAAATACCTGTGGTAATACTTTTTAGCCCCCCAAAGCATACAATTATAAAACATCCATTTAAATAATCGATGCTTTTAGAATTTGGGGCTATCATACAAAGAAGATATTTTGCAGGGGTGCTGTTGTAGAAAAACCAGGGACTCAATTGAAAGGTCACAGAGCTGTGTGACCTTGGGCAAGTAACTCATGTCTGGGCCCAGCCTGATCAGAAGCTACGTGGTGAAATGGGAGGCGTGTGAACTGATTTAACTTTCTTTTTTTTTTTTTTTGTCTTTTGTCTTTTTTCCGTGTCCAGCAACTGATCGCAACCCTCAGTGTCGCCCCCGTACCGGACCGGGGACCGGCAACGGGATTGCAACCCTCGGTGTTGCTCCCGCGCCTTGCTCAGCCAGTGAGCGGGAACCGGTCTGCATGTGGGATCCGAACCCTCGGGCGGGAGCGCCATTGCGCTTCCCAAGCGGCGCACTATCCAGTGCGCCACCAGGCCGGCCCTGATTTAACTTTCTATGTGCTTGAGTTTCTTTGACTGTCAGAGGTGGGTGACCTGATCACTGGCAGGTTCTGGAGGCCACTTTCAGATATTGAACTTCTATGGTTACAAATATTCTTTTCTTTTTCCGTTCCCCTTTACATCCTTTTCAGGTTGAAATAACAAGCAGATAACGCCCAGATTAGTTACCTAGCTTGCTTGTTTCTTCCCTAATTTAGTGAGTTGGTGAGAAAGCAAAGAAACTCAATACTGTCATTAAAAAGTGTATGTGGCATATCATAGGTGCTCAAATAAATTTTTTGAATAAATAGGGCAGGTGGTAAATCTATTATTACAGATTAATTAATTAATATTAAGAAGTTATCTCAGGTGGCAAAAAGGAGAGTCCTAAAATCTTTGCTACTCAGATACAGCAATATTTGAAAACTAGGCAACAGTTAATCAGATGACTAGAAATGGATGTCTGTTAGTAAGGTCACACAAGTGTTGTTTTTTTGAAAAACCAGAACTAAAAAAGAAAGTTGAAACAGGTGAATCCAAGTATAGACCTGACTATACATGAAGTGCAGAAAAAACACAAGGGAAAGGAAAACTTCCTTAAGAAGGTGATTCTTAAGAAAACTATAAAAACAGATTGATGAGGCCGGCCCGTGGCTCACTCGGTAGAGTGCGGTGCTGATAACACCAAGGCCACGGGTTCGGATCCTATATAGGGATGGCCAGTTAGCTCACTGGCTGAGCGTGGTGCTGACAACACCAAGCCAAGGGTTGAGATCCCCTTACCGGTCATCTTTAAAAAAAAAAACAGATTGATGGAGGCAGGGGGGGAGTAGCATTTTGGCAGGAAAGAGCAAAAATACGTGAAGTTAAAAGATAGTCCAAGGGAAAAAGTAGAACCGAGGTACTTCTGCCAAACCAGTTTATCAAAGTGTATGAAAACGGATAGTGTTTCATACCCTGCATGTTTTCGTTGCCACTTAACCAATTTTGTTCCTCTGTATGTTCTGTAAGAAAATTCCACAAATATTGGGAAAAGCGCATTTACGTTCAGTTAGGGTATACATTTGTAAGCAACTCCTATTAGAAGTTTGTCACTTGGCCAGAATTGTGTTTGTTAGATGCTATCATGTTTTTAACAAAGTCTTACATGGAAAACATTTATTTTGTCATAATCAAAAAACATATTTATTGAGACCAGTAATTTTATAGGGCAAAACACAAGTCCTTATTCCTCAAGGAATTTCTCTAGAAGGGTTAATATACTCTTTCCATATTCTGGAGAAGGACAGGTAATAAATACAGTGGGAGGCAAATATACCTCTGTGTCAAATCATCTTTTACCTCCAAATTGAAAATATGTAATATATAATTACTGAAATACTTTCATTTGATATCTAGGAGAAATTTTTCTGTTTGATTGATAAACAACCTGGTTATTGCAATATAAAAAGAACAGATCTCACTTTTTTTATATTATGAGCATCTAGTTCTTAGCTCAATGTTTTAGTATCTAGAAGGTGAAAGCCATTTTAGGGGTTCTGTCTGAGGAGCATGAGAAAAGTTTCAAGATTACTCCACTGAAGTTAATCACTTGACTCTAGCGATTTTTAATAGTGAAAAGTTTAGATGAGTAATAGCATGTATGTTTTAAAAAGCTAAAATATTTTATAGTCTTATGTGAGGAAATGTTAACTGGTGTATTTCACTGTATCCCTGCTGGTATGTAAAGATCATTTTTGTTATGTCTTTTTCTGTTTGAATAGAGTATACAGCAATATAAGTGGGCATTGCTTAATCCTGTGTCATGCAACTTTAAACACTGGCCAGTTCCCTGAAATATTCTGGGCACACCCACCCACACACACACTCACACTCTCACCTGTCTCCTGGGACTCACCGTTTAGTGAACTGCAAGCCCATTCGCTTCCTCTGTGCTGGGGAATACCGTACCTGTGTACATGCACATCGGCTGCTTGGAAACCTGTGGCACCAGGTCACGTGACTGTTGCTATGAGTGTGGAGGTGCATTTTTCTTTTCTTTCTTCCTTCTTCTGCCCTTACTTTGTTTCTTTTAACCGGGGAAATGTGGCAGGTTCGCAGGTCTTTGCAGGCCCAACTCTGAAAACTTTGGACTCCCGGCTTTTCACTGCTGGATTATCTTTGGATTTCTCTTAGGGTGCCACACCTGTCAAGGCTGCTGCTCTGGACTTTGCCGATGAGCAAGAAGCTCTTGAGGCCACGGTGGAGAAAACTAGGCCCGAGCCTGCAGAAGTCCTCCATGTCTGCAAGAGCCAGGTGGCTGAGCTGGAGCTGTGGCTGCAACAAGCCAACGTGGCATTTGAGCCGGAAACATTAAACACAGACATGCAGCAGGTGGTGGAACAGCAGCTGGTCGGGTGCCAGGTAAGACTGAAGCGTCAGAGTTCGTGGTTTGCCTCTTCACCAATCACCTGCCAAGATGGGGGGAATTTCTCTTAAAGCAATAGTGTGTCTGTTTCTGTTACTCTGACTCTTACACTCATCTTGGCCTCAACTTGTTGTTCTCAGGGCAATTCTTTGAAGTGCTTTATGTAAGCAGCATATTTGGTGGTTCAGTAGTGGGTAAGAGCTCAGAATCTAGCATCCAAATCTGACTCTGTCACATTAACCATGAACTTGGGGAAGTAAACTTCTCAGCCTCATTTTCCTCATAATAGTAGGTTATCTCAGAGAGTTATCATCAGTATTAAATGAGATGAGGTATATAAAAATGTCTGGTATACAAAGCATATAAAAATTTCTGAATAAATGGTGACTTATTTTTATTCATAGTAATAAGTACTTAGAATATTCATTCATCAGAAAGGAAGCTGAATGTCTGATCTGTAAGATTGCAGATACAGCATAAAAGAGCTTTGGGTCCATTTTATTAGGAATGTTCCTAGTCTTGCTTGGGAGGGGAAGGGATATGAATTTCCCTGCCTTCAGTCACTCTGAGTAAAGCTTGCTGGATGAGCCCCAAGGTTGGGATCTCTATATCCCTCCAGGGAGGGGCTGGAATGATGACATCGCAACAGCACAATTGTGGGTCACAACAGCCAAGGCATACCAGCTGCTTGCAAAGTCCTGTCCCCCAGTTGTGCTTAGGAAACCAGCCTTGGCCTGACATCTCTGCCTTCTTGGCTTGTTTGTCTGCCAAGAATGAGAACATCTCTTGTCTCAGAGAACCCCATGTCATTGGCCCAGCCTCAGGGAGCTCTTCTTGCTACAGCCTGTTATGTGGTTGGGATAACCTGCCCTCCATCTAGAGGCTGCATTTCCCCATCTTCTGTTCAGGCCCATGGTCTTACAGCATCCAGGACTGCCTGGGGGGAACCAGGAAGACAGTCTGACCTCCTCTGGACAGCTTGGCACCTCTCACCCCTAAGTGGTTCTAATGGCATAGGTTCACTCAAATAGTGGCACTGCTGCTTGGCCTAGATGATGAGGCACAGGGGGAGTGCATGAACAAGAGTGTAATACAGCGCAACACAGCACAATGCTACACTGAACTAAACCAGAGGACTTCCAAATTTTGAGTTCCAACCACTTACGGCCACCCAGGATCCATCTGCCAACTGATTATCTACTGGGTAGACTCCATGCCAATTCCTTGATTATCACCAAAATCATCCTCCTTGCCACTTGTAATGAGTTTGAAGATTTTGGAGCTACTCAAGGAAAAGACGTGACCACTAGGTGGCAATAGCACCCAATGGCTTTTTGGGGCATCATTTTGATAGGATTAGAATTATGAGAGACAGGGAAGTTCTTTATAGCAGGAGACCTTCCAGAGCTAAGGCATGGTTTGGAAGTGGGTCCACCACCCCGAAGGGGAAGAGGACAAGGGAATCTCCAGGGGTGAGAAGAATTTGAGAGTGCTTTTGTGTCTAGATGATATCCTAGCATAATGGAGAGTGTCTGAGTCAGAGAGCTCCAAAGGACAGCAGAGGCTTGGGATTTTTTATGGCCTCATGATTTATCTCATCCATGGCTGGCAGATGTTAGATGCAGATTTTTTTGGGGGGGGTATGCAAAGCAGGCAGGCTCTAAATGGCTAAAAATCTGCTTATTTGGGCTATACTTAACGCCATTGGATGTGTAAAAATTTGAGTTTGGCACCAGTGGGCTTTGAACTAATGGTTCTGACCTGCTGTAAGGAAATGAACAATGTAGGGTCCAATATGCAAGGGTCATCTTTGGCTCAGTTATGTAACATGACACATGCAATTTAATATTGAAACATACACAGAGCCTGAAAGTGGAAAAACCCTAAGTTCCCAGTGGAAAAATGGCCAAAGGACAGGAGCAAACAGATCAGTCAAGAAAATTATATTTGGTAATTTAATATTTGAGAAGAAATGTTCAGCCTTGATTAATTATTAGAGACATGTGAATTAAAACACTTACTGTTTTGTTTCTGTACTACATTAGCAAAAATTATATCATCCTGGCAGAACTCTGGAAAAATAGATGCACTAATGCCTGGTAGTTTTAATTGGCTCAATGTTTTGGGAGATCTGCTATTAACATATAAAATGTTCATCTTCTTTTACCTAATAATACCGTTACTTTAAATTTACCCTCTGAAAATAATGCAAAATGAGAAAAATAATTAGGGCAGCATTGATTACAAAAGTGAAGAACTGGAAACAGCTTAAAGTAACAAGAGGGAAGTTGTTAAGTGAGTCACGGAATATTAACTTGCACCTTATAAAATGGGAGCTATGCAAAAGTATATATATATAATAAATAAGTGAGGAAGACAGAGCATTAAATTATAGTATACTTTGTTTATAGCCACTCAAATCTGCAGTACATATTGTTGAAGTTTAGAAGAATATATAGAGGATTTAAGTAGTTTGCTTGAAGGAGTTATAAGATATATTATTTGAAAAATTGTTTTAAGGATAGAGTTTTCCCTTAAGTTTCTCTCAGCAAACTGAATTCATTCTTAGTCATATGCCCAGTTTTTGCACAAATAGTCTGGTGCTGGAATGTGGGGATGAATGCTGCTGCTGACTTGTGTGCCCAGCCAGCTGGCATGACTGAGTGGGCTCCTGAGCCGCAGCACAGGGAAAACTTGATCTGCCGAGGGAGGAATACAATGACCTGACTTACAGGGAAACTTACTTCATCCAGCAGATTTATTTTTAAACCTGTGTGTAAATTAGCCAGTTGTATCAATGACTAAGTATTTTAGGTTCCAAATTATTTCTTCTGTGGTGTTCTTCTGATAATCTGGAGGCTTACTTGGCTTAAGAAAGAGAAAGAAAAGAGCAGAGGAAAGAATTTTAAAGTAGCTGTGTGGATTTTTTTTTTTAATTCCTACTGGACACTTGGATTGCAACAGAGAAGATTAGGAAGGTGGGGAAAAAATAATAGTCTACACTTTTCAAGCACAGACTATGTATCAAGCCCTGGCCAAAGTGCATGGATTTAACTTATTAACACCTCACAATGGCCCTAGGAGGTAAGTTCTGTTGTTATTCCCACTTTGCAGGTCACTAGAGGCATACTCATATAAAGTAAGATGCCCATGTTTACACAGCTACTAAGTGGCAGGGCTGGGCAGGTAGTCTAATTCCAGTGTCTGTGTTCTTAACCACTGTGCTCTGCTGGGTACATTCTGCTGTGTTTGCTAAAGTGATTATAAAATCACTTATTTAAATTATTTTAGAGGGTGACGTCTGCAATTGGGGTTGGCTTGGTTGTACCGCTGCTGAAAAGCACGGGAATTATGTGGAAGTTTCTGTTCTTCCAAGGTCCCTTCCATCCTGTGTTTCTGGGACTTCTATACACTTTAGAGAATAAACCTAACTTATTTTGGGAAACAACACTTGTTCAAGATCAACACTCTGAATAATTAAATGATTTTACTTCCTAGGCTATGCTAACAGAGATTGAGCACAAGGTTGCCTCTCTATTAGAGAATTGCAAAGATCAGGGCCTAGGAGATAGTGGAGCCACTCACCATGAGGCTGAAGCACTTTCCCTGAAACTAAAAACTGTGAAGTGCAATTTGGAAAAAGTGCAGAAGATGCTTCAGGAGAAGTACAGTGAGGACCAGGTAAACTATGGCCATGTGTAGATGTACATGTTGATATACATATATGGCAGACCCACCAGAAGAAAACTGGGTGGAGGTGATGAACTAACTACAGAGAAACTCTACTAAGTAAAAAAAGAATTATGCCTCTTAAAACTGTAACAGATGGGTACGCTGGCTTTTGTTATTTTTATTTCATTTTACTGTGCAGGTTTCTTATCTAGGTGGTTGTTGGTGATAGTGGTGGTTTGGTTTGGGTTGGTTTGATGGAGTTGAGTGTTATTGCTGGTAAAGAGACCTTATGTAAAGCTTCTTCTTAAAAGAAGGATGTATTTTATAGGAATTTCGTGACTGCAGTTGACTGAAAAATGAAGCCCTTTTTAGATAAGATTAAAATTTGACTTTAGAAACACAAAACCTGTTTCTAGAGTACTTTTGTTATTCATTTGCAAATATTTGTATATACTGATTAAAGTATCATACAGCTAAAGTGTTCTCATGATTTTTAAAAGCATTCTGGGTTTATAAATGCAAATATGCATTTTATAAGTAGGATATATAAGATTCGCACGCAAACTTCAAGTGATTTCTACTTGCAGACTTATATTAACAGAAATCAGGTTGGTTGCAGATACATAGGCCATACAGTTCTCCTTTCATTCTAATATGTTCTCTCTCTCTCTTTTTTTAAAAACATGCTTATATTTTACACATAGGGGAAATTTGAATTCATAAGCATAATGCTGTTTCCTTTTTGACTTTTTTTTTTTTTTTTGCTTAAAAAGGCAATAAATTTCCTGGCTTTTATAATTCATTGGATGAATTAGTTTGAGGAAATGAAATGATCGCTTTATCAAATATAGTGATTTTTAAAGTTGTTATGAAATAAGTACATTAAATCATTGTATATAATTATAGTAAATAACAAAATTGTGTCATTTACTTCATATAAAACTTCTCCATTATGTAGTCTATTATTAGAATTGAGATAAAGTGGGGCTTTCTTTTTAAATAGTCTGCCATCGTGAAATTTTTTGCAGCATGCTCTCATTCCAAAGAAACCTTCAGAACATCAGAAAGTTCTCCAGCCAGTTAACCTGTCTGAACTGGAATCTATTGTAACTGAAAGGCCACATTTCAGCAAACAAAAAGATTTCCAGCAGCAACAGGTAATTTCAGCCCCCAGCAGTTGTAAGGACAAGAATAAAGCTTTTCATTTGGAATTTCCCTTTGGACTAAATAAATACTGAACTGCCTTTGGAGTGTCTGCTTCTGTGACTAGATGCAAAATGTGATGTGTGCATGTGTATGTGCATGTGCTCACACGCACATGTGTGCATTGTAGGCAACAGCTCTGAGTTTTGAGTTTCCTGCAACACTTAGTTTACTTTCATCTGCTGCTGTTGGGGACACTCTAACTTTGCTCCTTCATTAACTTGCATCTTATGCTCGTATCAAACTAAGCAAACATCTTCAGGGTGAACTTACTCTGTAACTGCAGCATGGCTTTGCCTATTATTTCAAAATGTGTTGTTATATTTTGGGTGACTTTCCTTGTGTAATACAGATTGAATAACACTTGGTTATTGTGCAAGTATTTTAAATAGGTTTTTGAAAAATAAAATTTAACAAGAACAAGCAAGCAAGAGAGAAATAGTAAATAATAATTTAGGAAGTGGTTCAAAATTAGATTATTTTAACAGAAGAAATCCTTGGGTACTAATTGAAAAACATGATTGAGTGGACCATTTCAATCTTATTCAATCATAGGTTCTGGAGTTAAAACCAATGGAACAGAAAGATTTTATCAAATTCATAGAATTTAATGCTAAGAAAATGTGGCTCCAGTATTGCCAACATGATAAAGATACAACTCAAGAATCATCTGAGAGGTAAAACATGTTTAAATAGTTGGACATTCAATATTTTTATGGTTGGGAGAATTAAAGAGTGTTTCTTTAAAAATCGCTCATGAAACAGTGTCTGAATGAAATATAAAATGTTTTATGTTGCTTATTCTTTTCACCTCTTGTTCTTCCTCAGAAGCAACACAACATGTAACTCTGAAAATGATGCTCCAGACTTGATCTTGTCACCCCAGGGCCAAAGTGGAGATAAATGGCAATATCTACATCATGAACTGTCATCAAAAATAAAGTCACCTGTACCTCAGCTTGTGGAGCCTCAGGTCAGTGTGTGTCTATACATGTGTAAATAAGCATGTTTATCTTTGAAGATCCAACAAGTGTTCACTAAATAAACATGTGTGTTCTGCATTATGTAGCAGTTTATTTTCAGAAAGCAAAGATGCCAAGTGACACTTTTTCTCGATCCTGGAAATCTGCATTAGGTGTTCCGTCATAGCACTTACTGAATACGCATATCTTGATTTGTCTGTGTCCCCCCTTAGATGGTCTGGGCAGAGGAAGGCCATGTCTGCCTGGTTCACATATGTGTGCCTAGAAGTACCTGGAACACCATAGACTCTCAGTTACTATTTGTTGAATGAATAAAAGAATGAATAATATATATATTTTTAAAAGCACTTATAAAAACTATGCAGTGCAATATGAGTGTCATTTGTTCATCAGAATATTCTTCGGAATCTACCAGGTGCCAGCCCCTGTGCCAATGACACCTGTCATTTGGCATTCCCTCCACCACACCTTATCACTGCCATTACAGGCTTGATATGGGCCGGCCCACTGTGCCAGCTACTGCTGGCTTTCTCTCCAAACAGGGAGCATGTGAGCAGAATAGCACTGTTGCTCCAGCAGTCAGGCTTTTGCCTTCAACAGTGCGCTCAGAATGCCAGGGCAAAGGTTACCAATGATTTCCTGATTCCTCAGTCTGACGGGAACTTTTCAGTTCTCATCGTTTCTGTTGAGAACCTTAGTTGACCAATTAAATTAAACTCATTGGTAGGGCTGTAGTCTTGGTTTCTCTTTGTTAATACACACTATAACATAACTATGCACACTATGACTTGTTTCTCCTTGTTTATACACTATCACAGTACATCATTCTCTTTCAAAAGATAAACCGCCATCAGTCAGATGGATGTTCTTTCCCCAAGCAGAGTCATCCACGTCCCCACCCTGTTTCTTTTTATATGTTAGTTTTCCAATTTGAGCAAGATATTAACTCTGTGTCATTCTCCCTCCTGAAATCTCATTTCATTTTTAATACCACATCAAAATGCAAATCCATCCTTGGGAGTGACTTACATTCTATTCTAATAGTTAGCTTTGCCAGGAGCCAACTAGTAAATGAACTAGAAAATAAACAGTAAATGCAAGTAAATAAACAGGTAACCTTATAACATGAATATTATTGCTACTAAATTAAAAGACTGGTGATTTTACTTTATTGCTCAAATTACGGTTCCTTTTCCTTCATTTTTAATGTCCAGATGGACCCTCCAGTATCTAAGTATAGCCTGTCATAACTTTTTAAAGCTGTCTAAAATATTTAAAGTTTAATTATTTTTCTTATAAATGACAAGATAGACAAAAATGCTTACCAGGAAGGTAACTCAGAAGACATTTTTGCAGTTTATGTTAACTTCAGCAGGATCACAAATTGTCACTAATAGAGTTTCCCTTTTTCAAGTAGGTTGCCACAAATATGAGTATTCTACCCAGTGTGAGTGTGTATAACTTTAGATACCCAACAACTGAAGAACTGAAAACCTACACCACCCAACTTGAAGACCTGCGTCAAGAAGCAGATAATCTTCAGACACAGGTAGAAGCTGCACGTGTATATTTTCCTCATTGCAATAACATAAAAAAGAAAGGAGATAAATTGGTCATAATTTTCTTCACTGAACAAATAATAGAACACATAATGGAACAGTTCCTAGAATTAGCAAAGAGAATTCTCTTGCTTGCCAACTCTCATAAATGTAGAGCCTGCCTAGTGCACTGTGGGCAAAGGATTCTGAGCCTGAGTCCAGCATGAGCAGAAAGAGGGTGGCGATTGGTCTGTGCTGTGTGCAGTGGTGATCTGGGATTGGAAGGGTGAGGAAAGAAGCTAGGGAGGGAGTATAGGCAAGCTTTCCAACCCTGGGTAGGCTTACTGCTGAGATGGTGTGCTAGGTAATGTTACTTAGCCACCGGAGAAGACAGGAGACAGAGCCCAAGTTGGGGTGATTACTAGCTTTAACATGCTCCTAAACGACTTGTAACTTGTCAGGAATTCAAGATGACCAGGGATAAAGAAAAAAGTTGGTTCCAGCAGCTTATAAAAACAGATCTGTGGCTCCCAAACTCACTGGGGCACAATTACACTATCCCAACATCTCCTGCCTTTAGAGTGGTGGCCTTGATTCTCATAATCAGCCCACAAACGACACTCCTAACTTCCCCTGCTCCACAGCCCATCCTATCTTTAAGATACTGTACCTCCTCTTTCTAATCAACCCCTTCATGCTTCTCTTCAGTGACTTCTTTTCCTTCTCCTGGCTACACTTGATTTAATTAACCCACTTTCTCCTGCATTAAGACATGGAGGGCAGGAAGCAGTGGGAACAGGGACAGTATGATTTATGCGGGACCATGCTTCCACCTCGACAGTCCTGCTAAGGAAGATCTTCTTGTGATTTACCTTTTAATTCCATTCACCAGTCAATAACTACCTAACTCTGAGCTTCTTAAACTTGTTCTTCTCAGAGTTAAAATCTTAATTTTGTTTATTCATTTGTTCTGCTACCTCGTTCACAGAGTGTTTGGAACTACTCATTATTTAAAAAGTATAACATAAATTGTAAACTATGATGAAAACCAGGGAAAATGTAGGCTTAGCAAGGCAAGGAATCCTGATGATTTTTATTTTTTTCTTTTCTCCTCTTGATTCAGGAAAACATGACAGAGGAAAAGTATATCAATTTGGACAAGAAGTTATTTGAACTATTTCTGACCCTCAGTCAGTGCCTTGGCAGTGTGGAGGAGATGCTGCAGACACCTGGGCTTTTCAGAGAGGATGTGTCTGCACAGCTGGTGCACTACGAGGTAGGGCACGTCTAAGGAGCCCATGTGTGGGCCATTACTGCAGCCCAGCTGGTTAAGCCACAGCCGAAACTTGAAGTCAAAGATCATTCATTGTGTCTTCCTTCCTCTCCACTTTGCAGACACTGGCTCTTGAGTTGAAGAAACTTTATTTAGCTATGAGCGACAAGAAGCTTGATCTTTTGAAAGCCATGACTTGGCCTGGCAAGAACACCAGCTTGCTCACTGAATGTTTTGATAACCTTCAATTCTGCCTGGAGCACACCCAAGCTACAGCTGCCTCTAGAAGCAAGTCCCTGAAAGCTGGCCTCAACTATAACCACAGTTATCAGGTACAGTTCTGAGCACACGGCCTACTCTGGCACTGTTTTAGGTTACAGCACGGACCCCTAATTTCTATTAATTCCTATTCCTGGTGGCATTCGTTAATAGGAATTGCTAAGGGAAACTGAGACTCTCCCATTGCTCATGGTTGGAGACCATTTAAAAATGAGACCTTTCCAAATTCTTGGGTATGAATTTGTTAGAATGAGCTAACATAATGTTTGTTTTCCTGTACTACATTGAGCAATTTAGTGATTGTTATATGGAAGGATTTCTATTTAAATTTCTAGGTAAGAGGGAGCCATTTAAGTTTTTGAGCAAAAGAATGACCGTCTGTGTATGTTTTGGGTAAATTCATCTCGCAGTTGTCTTAAGTGGATTGGAGAGAGAGAGACTTGAGGCATGTAGACCAGTTAGGAAGCTACTAAAATTGTCACATTAAACAGCACCATGGGGGTGCAAACTACCAAACCAGACTGTGGGAAACTGTACAGAACAAATGACCTGTTTTTTCACAGGCACACAAATCCAAGAAACAAAAAAGAGAGGTGATAGGAGAGTCTGCAGATTATAAGAGACTTAAGAACATATTAACTCGTGATATATGGACCTCATTTGGGTCCCAACTGAAACAAAGAAAGAAGGAAATTTATAGGTGATTAGAGAAAAGCGAACACTGTCTGTATTATTAAACATACTAAGGAATTGTTGATTTTAGAGGGAATATATTACAGTATTGTTGTTTGCTGGGGTTTTTTTATATTGTAGTATATATTTTTTAAAGTTTATTAATTTTTTTTACATTGATGTTGTGGAGCAGTTAGGAGGGAAGGGGGAAGGAAATAGAGTGAGAGGAGGAAAGAGAAGGGGTGGGGTTGAGGCCTGGGGCACTGCCCTCATTCCTGCAGGGGAAACCAGGGGGCTTCCAGTGGTGTCTTCGTCATTGCTAGGCTGGGTGCCGATGTCAGGGGGGTGTGGCTGAAGCCCTCACCACACCCCCATGCCCCACCCATCCCATCTTGGGAGCCTGTGGTGCTTCCTGTGGCAGCTTGGTGGTTGTCGCTGTGCTGGTTGTTTCGGGGGGGTGTGGCCAAGGCCCTCAGCCACCCACTGCCCCAGCTCAGGAGAGCCCAGGGCACTTCCTGCAGTGGCTTGGGGTTCATCACTGGGCTGGTTGCAGGTGTCAGTGGGGTGTGGCTGAGGCCCTTGGCCCCCCACCACCCCAGCTCAGGAGAGCCCGGGGCACTGCCTACACTGGTTGCAGGTGTCAGGATGGCGTGGCCAAGGCCCTCTGCCCCCCACCACCCAGACTCAGGAGAGCCCGAGCACTTCCTGCAACAGCTCAGTAGTTGTCACTGGGCTGGTTGTGGGTGTCAGGGGACATAGCTGAGGCCCCCAGCCCTCCCGCCTCCCTGGCTTGGTAGCCCAGGGGACTTCCAGTCCTTCTAGGTTTTATAGGTGTTCTTTGGTGATGTGAGACCTTTACTAGTTAATATCAAACTTTGTCTCTGGTCTGTGGGTATTTTTTTTTTCTTCCAGTTCTGTGTTGGATTATTTGTTGTTCCCACCACTTAAACTCTGCACTGGAACTAATTTGTTATCCTTTGTTTAATTCTAAAATGGGGGAACTTCCGGTGGGGACCAACACTTGAGCTATATTGTTGCTTTGCTGCTGATTCTCTGGGGAAGGCTTTTTGTGCAGCTCAGGTTTTAATGGTTGACTATAAGTACTTCTGGTTCTTGTGAGATCTGGTACACCTGGATTGTGTAGAAACTCTGATGAGGGCCTGAGTCTTTCAGCAAACTGCACCCCATGCAATTCTGTATTCCTGAGTGGTCCTGCATTGATTGGGGTGCAGATCAGCTGTCCTTGCTGTGCCCCAGTGTGCCTCCCATGGGCCCATCTCCCCCACTGCCTGCACTCCAAACACTTCCCATGGGGCAGGTCATCCTTACGATGACTCACTGGCCTCTTGAGTGTCTCCTTTTTTTCAGTTGTTGTAGCTTCTTGCTCCTATGTGGGTCCACAGGAACCCTATTAGAGGTCTTGCTGGCCTGGGGGCCACCGAGGCCCTCTTCTCCCCTGCCACCTCTAAACAACTTCATAGGAAGGGCACAGCTGAGGCTTTTGCCAGCTCTTGCTCTGTGTGCTCACCAGGGCCAGACTTGAACCGGCTGGGGCTCAAAATGGTTGGAGCGTTTTTTTCTTTCTCTCATCATGGCTTATCTCACCTTCATGTACTCCGTAGGTCTCTCCTCCTCTTCCCCTGAGCTCTAGTGGCCCTCGCTTGGCTGTCCTTGCTTTTTAATATTTGTAAATTGGTTGACTTGTGGGAGAGAGTAATGCTGGGGACCATCTATTCTGCCATCTTGACCAGAAGCTCCTATACATGCTCTATATTGTAGTATTTTTAAAGAGAAGAATTGTTATCTTTTAGAGATTCATGATGAAATGACTTGATACCTGGTATTGGTTCAAAATAACCTATGGGATGGGAGGTTAGGTAGAGTCAAGAGAGCTAAGGGGAGGGTATAGAGGGAAGAAAGCCAGGCATGAGTCAATAATTATTGAAGCTCAATCCTGCTAAGGTGGGGATTCCTCTTATTTTGTATATGTTTGAAATTTCCAACATTACAAAAATTATAAAAATCAACTAAATATAAAAAAGGTAGCAAAGGGGCCGGCCCGG